GGGCTCTACCTGACCACAAGCCCACACTGGCTCTGTCTAGGATGGGCTCTACCTGACCACAAGCCCACACTGGCTCTGTCTAGGATGGGCTCTACCTGACCACAAGCCCACACTGGCTCTGCCACAAGTAGGAGCAGAGGAGCAGGTTTGGGTTTCAAGTTTCATGTGTGGCTCACCTCGTCATACATGAACTGCAGGGTGAGCGCGGACTTGCCCACGCCGCCACTGCCCACCATGATGACCTTGTGCAGGGCCAGGGTGCTCTGACTTTTGCTCTTGCTGGCTGCCATGGCTGGACTCCTTCTCCGGATGCTGACCAACACCACCTGTGGGTAAGAGCGCAAAGCTGCGCCTGTTAGCGGCACCGCCCACTGCTGAGAGAAGAGATCACCCCGACATGTAGCCGAGGGCCAGAAAAGGGCCCACAGAGCTTTTGTTCCCAATGCATCCAGTTAGCCAGTGGGCACATCTCAATCAATTTGTCTGGGGATAAATAATATTTACTTTGTAGAAAAATGACATTTTGGTCACATTGTTATCATCATGAATAAGTGGCTCGCTGACAGCTCCCTCCATGTATAAACCCCCCCCTGCAGGCTCATTCAGATTTTACAAGCCTTAAGTGTTACTGTGCTCACCATACACCTGTGTGTCACTCTTTGAGGTCGGGGAGGGGTAATTTTACTGACCATTCCACATCAACAGGGCAGTGGGGGTCTGTAATAAAAGCCAGTGGGCCGCAGCTGCCCTGGGGAGTGCTTGGTGTTATTGTCCTGGGCAGGATATCGCCCTGGGGAGAGGCGTCCATTTAAACAGTGAAGCTCTTATGAGATTCCAGCAGCCCAACAGATCAATACTTGAAACAGTTAGCAACATAAATTGTGCCCATTATGCCAAAGGGGGAGAGGATCACTGGAGGTTACTTAGTGCATCTCTCTCCCACTATAACCAAATGGCTAGATGGCCAAATTGAACTGGGAACTTGCACTGGACACATGACTTGATAGTACGGCATTGTGACGACGTGTAACATTTCCAGACTGGATGGTGGCCCAGACTGGGCTTACAATTGGCTGAGTATTGCCAGGAAGCAAGCGAAAACCCACGTTTCTAAACTTTACACAAAACAAGAGGAACTGTGATGTTCTCCTATTACAGTAACATAATACTACACGGTCTGTCTCAGTCGGATCTGCAGTGATGATACAATGCGTGCTCTCTGTTGTTTATCCTTCTTCTTCTTTACCCTTTTTGAGTCCCGATGCTGCTGAACAGTACATTTATTTTATTAATTTATCTGCTATGTAAGCAACTGGTGCAGTGATTTTCTATGAAGATTTATTGGTTATACAATCAGGGGGTGATGTAAGATTAAAAGACCAGATCCTGGTGGGGTCTGGAGCCTTCTACTCCCAGTGGCTGAGAATACCACACACCTCGCTGTTTCCCATGGTAATTCCCCAAGCTTGAGCCGTAATCTGCCCCCAGCTTTAACAATGGCTTCAATGAGATCGACATGCAGATCTGAAGACCGCAGCTGACCTCAAACCCAGCCACTCTGGGGTCCACACTCAGGTTTGTCTGTGCACTTCTGTCCTCGAGAACCAGCCATCTGAATATACAATAAGTCACTCGACATTACAAAGAGCCTCCAGGGAGAACAAAGCAAACTTAATATGCCATCTGTCATCGAGGCATGACAGACGGCATTAGTCAGCCTCTCACAAAGCAAACACTCAAAAACTCAGATCTTCCCCTAACATCAGCACCCCCTACCTCATACTGCTCTATACACCCCCCCCCCTCCATTTCCCCCCAGTGTGGGCCACTCCGCTTTCCACAGGTTTCCACACCAAAGCAAAAAGAGTCTGACTTCTCAAACGCTGTTCTGCGAGACCGATTCTGATTTGATTAATCCAATTTGATACCACTTAAAATTTTAAACATTAACTTAATATCTAAGTAAAATGATGTTTTCGTGTAACACATGGGAGTTGCGATTTTCTACCTTGCCAATTATTTACTGTGAGACACTGGAAATACACCAACAAATGCAACGCAGTTGGAACGCGCCACAGATCTGCCGAGGCAGACAGGAGCCCCATCGGACCCGGAGGCTGAATCAGTCCAGAACGTGGCCTAAGCTGGACCGAGCCCGCAACACAGAGCCCGAGACCCGGTTTTGTTGGAACCACAGGAAGAGGCCCAGGTTTCCCCACGCATCCTGCCATTGTTGCACATCTGGTGACCTTGATGCAGAGAAGCCTGGAAGAGGACATGGGATCAGGCAGGAAGCCAGTGTGCCGAGGTCAGCACCTCCTAACTGATAGTGTGCCGAGGTCAGCACCTCCTAACTGATAGTGTGCCGAGTGTGATTCCATTTATCCTCGTACATCACGATGACCACATCCTTCCTGCTACACACAAGGCAGATTGTGCTGCTTAACAGGCTCAGACGTTATGAGACAACAATCGGAAAGATGGGCTTCAAGCTCAATGGTAACCCTGAGTGACCCAGATGCCACTATGGCCCCCTATCAATGGGAACTGTTGATACCCAAACCATTGTGGGACCACATGTTTTCTTACCGAAGGGATACAGCCTTTAAGTTAGTTAACTCGTGCTCTCTGGAATGTAAACTATGTTAGCTTAGTACAAAACCCACAGTATCGTAGTACAACAAACAGTTATCCTGATCACGCTCACAGTAGGACCTGAAGATTATTCCTGAATGGGATGCCAGACACAACTTACAGATGTCAGTTAACCTAACTGCAAGCCTGTGGATGGTAGGAGGAGCCCAGTGTACCCGGAGGAAACCTGCAAACTCCACAAACTGAGGTGGGATCTGTACCCCTCAAACCCAGGTTTGAGGTTCCCCACTGTGCCACTGTACCGCCCTAAAGAGAAGCAGTGCATATTATTTAATTAGCCTACATGTGTAACAGATGTCCAGTATTGGGGTGATGATTGGCACAAATTTTTCAAGTCAATGGTATCTCACGGTTTATAGCAATTCCTGGTTCTGGAACTGTAGTGGGTCTAAAACATTTCTGGTTCGTAGCAGTTCTGAATGAAAACTGCAGCAACGGGAAACCAGAACTTTCTTGTACTCTTCAAATCCAACAAAATCGTGAAAAAAGTCTTATAAAGCAGGGCTCTGAGTACAGATGGTTGACTGAATCTTTAAAACGCAGAACCCCCATACTGTTCACTAGGGAGGCCAGTCCCACATCCCAAAGGTTAAGCATTTCCCAAAGAAACAATATAGCCAATTATCCTGATGATTAAAATGAATGTTATGGGGCAGGTGACATCTCATATCTCATATTGCACTGCTCCACATTTTATGGTTTCTGTCTGTTTTTTTTTTAAACACGAGGACCACATTCACAAGGAGAGTCTCTCAACGGGGTCTACAACTCCCTGCCTCATTCCTTCCATCCCTTCTTCCATTCTCTCTTTTAGATTACGGCCTGTCAACTAGATTCGACCAATTTGGCGGATCGGGTATCAGTCATACGTAACCGATCCACATCCGATACTAATTCATTTTTGGCAGTTTCTAAAAAGATCCTGCTTCGTGTCAAATCTATTTGTACAATCAATCCCACGACAACTCTTTCCCATTTTAGATGTGATTTTGTGGCATTCAAGCACGCAGTTCTTCCCACTTAGTAGGCGTGAGCACGGTGACTTCCGCCTGCTGTGACGTCACGCACATACTCTTCACAGTATGAGGAGCATAAGAGTATCAGATAAGACGGTGACGATCTGGAAGTATCTTACGCTTTTAACAGCAACTAGTAGCACAGCGATATGCAATCCTTGTAAGAATAAAGTTTTGAGAGGTGGAAGTAGCGTTTAGTGGGAAATCTCACTAAACAAAGCACACACAATTAGTAATAAAAAAGCAATCTGTACAGCAATTGTACATCGGATGGGACCTGAAAAAATGTGGATTCCTCTGCCTGGACCATCGAATGCAACGCTGAACACAGGAACACGCCTGCTGACTCTTGCTAAGATGACAGAGAGCTCCCAGTAGTGAAGGTTCAAGTGTAAACCTCACCAGAGGAACTCCACAGCTGACCGACGTGAAAGGTAGAGCAGCGTCAGTGTAGCTCATCCAGACGGCATTAAGCAAGGAGGCTACGCCACCCAAATTAGGCAGACATTCTACATTTATTTATCAAAAGCCTTTATCCAAAGATATACACAACAGGGAAAGCAGGACATATAATCCCAGGAGCAATTGGGAGTTAAGGGCCTTGCCTAAGGGCCCAACGGTGACATCACTCTGCCGGCCCTGGGATTTGAACCAGCAACCATCCAATCACATGCATGGTGAACTAACCAGCCCTGTTCTAATGTCACGGTGCCTCTGAACCCATAAGTATTGTACAGTCTTAACTTTCCAAAACACCCTGCCAAAGAACAAAACCATAGCATTTAATCAATTACTTTGCTACTTATACACATCATATAGACATAAAGAGGTTTTAACTAAGATCTGCCATAAGTCCATTCCCAGAACTGGAAGTAATGTTTGCAATATATTTCCTCTTCTCTACACTAAACCAGAAAGTCAGTTCATTACATTGATTTAGGGAAAAACAGACAGACAATACCAGTGTGGCATCACAGTTCACGTGATGCACCTTTCCCTCCATGTCTCTAAGCAGCAGGGGCGAAATGGGAAGCACTCTTTCAGCCAAGTTCTCTTTTTGAGTGTTTCACAACCCGGTCCTCAGAGACTCAAAGACAGTCCACGTTTTTGCTCCTTCCCAGCTCCCTATCAGAGAGTCCACATTGTGTTAGACCAGGGGTGGCCAATCTTATCCACAAAGGGCCAGTGTGTGTGCAGGTTTTTGGGGTAACCTTTAGGTCAGTTGTTCAACCCCAGGTATGAGGACTCTTCAGCCAATTAGTCCTCTATATAGCAATCTAATTAGGGAGTTGCAGCGAAAACCCGCATACACTGCGGCCCTTTCGGGATAAGATTGGCCACCCCTGTGTTAGTCAGTCCACACAATCTGTCTGCCAGGGAGCTGGGAGGGAGCAAAAATGTGGACTGTGTGTAAGTCCCCGAGGAGCAGGCTGGACAGCACTGCTTGATTACTTTCAGGGTCCGGAGACACTGATGCACCTTACTTGGCAGTTTGCTGATATGTGAATTACAGCTGCCCCCCCCCCCCCAACTACCCAACAAAAACAAATACCCCAAATACACACATTTCCACATTCTTTGTGCCAGGAAGACTCAATGGCGTGAACCACAGCAAACAAATGGGTGTTGTTCACACAAACAGGAGGGAACAAATT